TTAACTACCTCGCCTGGTATACAGGAGGTCGTGGGTTCGATCCCCACCCTGACGCCTGCTGCTGTATATTTGGAGTCTGCGTGTCTCTCTCTCATCATCATCACGGTGGCTATGATATGTTAACTACCTCGCCTGGTATACAGGAGGTCGTGGGTTCGATCCCCACCCTGACGCCTGCTGCTGTATATTTGGAGTCTGCGTGTCTCTCTCTCATCATCATCACGGTGGCTATGATATGTTAACTACCTCGCCTGGTATACAGGAGGTCGTGGGTTCGATCCCCACCCTGACGCCTGCTGTATATTTGGAGTCTGCGTGTCTCTCTCTCATCATCATCACGGTGGCTATGATATGTTAACTACCTCGCCTGGTATACAGGAGGTCGTGGGTTCGATCCCCACCCTGACGCCTGCTGCTGTATATTTGGAGTCTGCGTGTCTCTCTCTCATCATCATCACGGTGGCTATGATATGTTAACTACCTCGCCTGGTATACAGGAGGTCGTGGGTTCGATCCCCACCCTGACGCCTGCTGCTGTATATTTGGAGTCTGCGTGTCTCTCTCTCATCATCATCACGGTGGCTATGATATGTTAACTACCTCGCCTGGTATACAGGAGGTCGTGGGTTCGATCCCCACCCTGACGCCTGCTGCTGTATATTTGGAGTCTGCGTGTCTCTCTCTCATCATCATCACGGTGGCTATGATATGTTAACTACCTCGCCTGGTATACAGGAGGTCATGGGTTCGATCCCCACCCTGACGCCTGCTGCTGTATATTTGGAGTCTGCGTGTCTCTCTCTCATCATCATCACGGTGGCTATGATATGTTAACTACCTCGCCTGGTATACAGGAGGTCGTGGGTTCGATCCCCACCCTGACGCCTGCTGCTGTATATTTGGAGTCTGCGTGTCTCTCTCTCATCATCATCACGGTGGCTATGATATGTTAACTACCTCGCCTGGTATACAGGAGGTCGTGGGTTCGATCCCCACCCTGACGCCTGCTGCTGTATATTTGGAGTCTGCGTGTCTCTCTCTCATCATCATCACGGTGGCTATGATATGTTAACTACCTCGCCTGGTATACAGGAGGTCGTGGGTTCGATCCCCACCCTGACGCCTGCTGCTGTATATTTGGAGTCTGCGTGTCTCTCTCTCATCATCATCACGGTGGCTATGATATGTTAACTACCTCGCCTGGTATACAGGAGGTCGTGGGTTCGATCCCCACCCTGACGCCTGCTGCTGTATATTTGGAGTCTGCGTGTCTCTCTCTCATCATCATCACGGTGGCTATGATATGTTAACTACCTCGCCTGGTATACAGGAGGTCGTGGGTTTGATCCCCACCCTGACGCCTGCTGCTGTATATTTGGAGTTTGCGTGTCTCTCTCTCCGTGGTCGCGTGGATTTTTCTCCGGGTCCTCCGGTTTTTCCCTCGGCCCTGAAACTTCTTGACGTCGCCACTGGTGCCAGAAGGGCCTCCACAAGAAAGGAGTCCCTCGAGACCCGAGTGCTATTGGCCTACTCTTCCATGCTGGCCAAACCGTGTTGGAAGATATGGGAGTACCCACACATTACCCCACCATATCCTGTGGTTATTTCGGTAAAGTCACGTAGATATAGAAAATAATAATAAAATAAGAAATTTTTTAATAAAGTGAATACAAAATAAAAAAAATATCACGACGTTTCGATCGCAACACAATAGGTCGTCATCAAGAACGACCGCTTGTGTTGCGATAACAAACGTGATATTATTATTATTTTTTTCATTCATTTTAATTTTCGTGATTTTATTGGTATTTTTTGTATCTACACGACTTCACCGAAAGAACCATAGAATAAGAATTCCTGCAGTCACGAAAGTTTCAAGTCAAAATCACCCCACTGCACGCGACCTGCCGGTCAATCCGACTGTGGTGTCCTCAGGGTGGGGGAGCGATTCAATAAAACCGCACCAAATCTTTCCCACCGCCACGCCCCGCGAGATCAAACCGGCGACCTCTGACACCGCTGGGTGGACAGAGGCTTTGGCGTGGGGAGGGGGGGGGGGGGATTTGAGATGTCTGCCCCATTGTTGCAACTGCAGCGTCGGGAGATGGAACTGAACCAGCGAGACCTCTGGATGGCCAGTCCTGTACGCGGACCATCGCACCATGGCGGGGGTTTTTTTTTCTCTCTCTCCAAGCACCGAGGTCTCCTCCCAATCGAAGCCAAAGACGACATCGACAATCGGCCAAACATCCCAGCACGGGGCCTTCCTGAAAGCACGTCTTGAGACTCGTTAAGACATTATTAGTATTATTGTTGATCAGGCCAGCAGCGGAGACAGGGCGGTTTACATGAGACCCAATAATGGCCCAACTCTGGACCAGGGCTGACCCAGGTCTGACCCAGGGCTGACCCAGGGCTGACCCAGGGCTGGACCAGGGCTGACTCAGGGTTGACCCAGGGTTGACCCAGGGCTGACCCAGGGCTGACCCAGGGCTGACTCAGGGTTGACCCAGGGCTGACCCAGGGCTGACCCAGGGCTGACCCAGGGCTGGCCCAGGGCTGACCCAGGACTGACCCAGGTCTGACCCAGGGCTGACCCAGGGCTGACCCAGGGCTGGACCAGGTCTGGACCAGGTCTGACCCAGGTCTGACCCAGGGCTGGACCAGGGCTGGACCAGGTCTGGACCAGGTCTGACCCAGGTCTGACCCAGGTCTGACCCAGGGCTGGACCAGGGCTGGACCAGGGCTCACCCAGGGCTCACCCAGGGCTCACCCAGGTCTGACCCAGGGCTGGACCAGGGCTGGACCAGGGCTCACCCAGGGCTCACCCAGGGCTCACCCAGGGCTCACCCAGGGCTCACCCAGGTCTGGATCAGGGCTGACCCAGGGCTCACCCAGGTCTGGACCAGGGCTAGACCAGGGCTAGACCAGGGCTCACCAGGGCTCACCCAGGGCTCACCCAGGGCTCACCCAGGGCTGGGCCAGGGCTGACCCAGGGATGACCCAGGGCTGGACCAGGTCTGACCCAGGGCTGACCCAGGGCTGACCCAGGGCTGGACCAGGTCTGGACCAGGGCTGACCCAGGGCTGGACCAGGTCTCACCCAGGGCTGACCCAGGTCTGACCCAGGGCTGGACCAGGGCTGACCCAGGTCTGACCCAGGTCTGACCCAAGGCTGGACCCAGGGCTGACTTGGAAGAGACGCGGGTGATGAGGGTGGAGAGTCCGGGTCACAACTGGACGTGTAGAAAGCGGTTCATGTACATTTATTTTTACCATGGGGGGGGGGGGGGGCGGGGGAGGGGGGACATACAGTATAAAGATTCATAAAGAATAAATGGCACGGGGTGGCAGGGGCGAGGGGCGGGGGGTCACCTCGCCGTGGGCAGAATGTACACGGGGGGGGGGGGGGGGGGAGGGGGGGGGGCTGGGGGAGCGAGCTGTTGGGCAATACAAAGATGCGGAGGACTCTGGCGCCAAGCAGCGGTGCCCTCTCGCGTCGCTCCTCAAGTCTTCCCGCGAGGGGGGCGGCTGGCGCGGCAGGAGGAGTCGCTCGCTGGCTGGACGCAGGAGGGAGGCTGTACACTGGCACGGGGGAACCCCGCCCCTCCCCCCACCATTAAGCACTGGGGATGATGGTGGGGGGGTGGGGGGTGGGTGGGTGGGGGGAGCAGTCCTCACAACTCTAGCTACAATTGCTTCCTTCTAGAAGGGGGGGGGGGGGCGGGTTTATAAAACAAAATGAAAGTACGATAATAATTATAAACGGACGTGAAATAAAATACACGCAGTAATAATAACGATAGCAGTAATAATGATAAGGGGGGCGCGGTGGGGAGGGGGGGGGTAGGCAATGTACAGGTATGTACAGCGAGCACGCCGCGCCCGGCACGCGAGTGGGGGGCAGGTGGTGGTGGTGATGGTGGGGGGGGGCGACGGATGACGGTGGGCGGGAACGGGGCCCGGTGGCCCAGCTTACGCGCCAACAACCATAATTATAATAATAACGATAACCGTCACCGTCGCCACCGCCGCCGCCGCGGTCGCGATTATAAATCCACGGCCTCGCCGCGGGCTGCCGGGCGGTTTGCAGCTCTCCACGTCCTCGCGGCCTGGCACTGGGCGCTCTCCCAAGTTCCACCGTAACAAAGCTGACCGGCGATGCACCGGGTCCCACTGCTGTCCACGGCACGGTCACCACCACCACCACGCGCGCCTCCACGCACGCACGCGGAATCACCCCCCACCCCCGAACGCGCTTAGACAAAGGCAGAAATGCACGCACAGTCATCCGCACACACGCACACACGCACACACGCACACATATAAACATTCACTCTTTCACACACACGCAGTCACCCACCCTCACGCAGGTCGGCAGGCTCGGGGCTCCGAGCGGCCCACTTTCACGCACAGGGCAGCGTCCTCTGGGCCCCAGACCACGGGCAGCGCGTGCGCGCAAGTACGCGCGCACACACGCACGCACACGCGCACGCACGCACGCACGCGTCGCACACACGCGTCGCACAACCTCAACTCTGCCACGTCAATAATAATTAAATACACGTCTCCTGGGCCGGTACCAAACGCAGGGCTCGGCGCTAGCGACGAGGAGGAGGAGTACCGATTGGCTGGCGCTTTGGGCACCGCGCGGCCGCAGGGCAGGGGCGCCCCGGGGTGGGTGGGGGGGCGCCGGGTTTCAGTTTCAGTTCCTTGTTCGTGGCTTTTAAACGGCACCCGGCTGGACCTGGTGAACACTCGGCGCACGCGCAAAGTGCCCTCCATCCCAACTGCCGCCCGCCGGCCCGCCCGCCCGCCCGGCACGGCGCCTCGAACGTCCGCCGCTTCTCAGGGAGTGCCGCGGGGAGATCCGGTCCCCTCCTAGGTTTCGGGCCGGGCCTTGCCAGCGGAGGCGGCGGCGTTGGACTCGACGATCGGGAAAAATAAAAACCACAAAACTAAGACGCGGGGAAAATAACGGGCAGGGCAGCGCGGAGAGGAGGCCCGGCCGGTAGCGACGCCACGGGGCCCCCCCCCCCCCCGAGCGAGACCACACGGGGACACGGGGCCCGGCGAGGGGCGGGCGGCGGGGGACACGGGGTGGGGCGGGCCGCGCGTAGCAGGGGGGGCGGGGCGGGGGTCACGTGTGGCCCAGCACGTAAAGCACGTCGGCCACGACGGGGGAGATGTAGGGGTTGAGGATGTGCGACATGGCGATGTCCAGCAGCCGGCCCTCGTACAGCACAAACTCGGCGCGGCACCCGTCCAGCCTGGCCAGCGCCAGCAGCACGCCGGCGGCACGCCGCAGCATGTCCACGCTGGGCGGCTCCAGCGAGGCGGCCGCCCCGCCCCCTCCGCCCCCGCCGCCGCCCTGCTGCTGCGCCTGCTGCTGCTGCTGCGTCTGCTGCGTCTGCTGCTGCGTCTGCTGCAGCGCAGCCATCAGCCCGTCCTCGAGGAAGCACACGAGGCTGCCCACGGTGCCCTTGTGCCGCGCCACGGCGCGGGCCGGCACGCCGTCGGCGCCGCCGCCCTGCACGAGGCTGGCGAGCAGCGCCACGCTCATCTCGCGGCACACCGGGTTGCGCCGCTCGGCCACGAAGCGCACCAGCGCGCTCAGGAGGCACTCGAGCCGCGAGAAGGGCGGCGTCGCGAGGATGAGGTCCACGTTGCCCTCCTGCACGCCGAGCTTCGACAGCGTCTCCAGCGCGAGCCGCTGCGGCGAGAGCACGGCGCACGGCGCCAGCGACGGGAAGGGGTCGCGCGCCTCGGCCGCCGGGCACACGGCCCAGTGCAGGAGGCCGTCGAGCACCGGCAGGCAGACGCTCTCGGCGTAGAGCGACAGGTCGAGGCGGCCCGCGATGTTGGCGAGCGTCACCAGCGCGTTCTCGCGCAGCGTCTCCACGCACTCCAGCAGCCACTCCTCCTGCCAGGCGGCAGGCACCACGGACGCCGGGGCCCACGCCCCCCACCCCCCCCACGCGTCGCCCCCGCCGCACGGCCTCCGCTCCGTCCTGCCGGCGCCGTCGGCGGGCTCGCGCGCGGCGCCGTCGCCGTCGTCGCCGTCCGGCCGTTTCTCGGCCTTCGTCGCCGCCGGTTCCTCCCGCTCCTCCTTCGGCCCCCGCTCGCCGGCGGCCGCGGGGCGGCGAGCGTCCCCCCCCGCTTCGTCGCCAGAGGCGTCCGGCGGGGGGCGCCGGCACTGGCGCAGCGGCGGCCGGCGGTCGGGGTGGACGTGGCACAGCAGCACGAGGCGGCCCAGGATGACCAGCAGGCCCGGGTGGCGCGCCATCTCGGCGTCGTTGCCCGGCACGAAGGACAGGCTGCGCACGATGTTGGAGACGCAGGCGCAGCGCCCCACCAGCGACTCCTGCCAGGGACGCGTGCGGCTCAGCGGCGCCTCGTCGCGGCCCTGCGGCTCGTCCTCCAGCATCTGCTGCCGCTTCCGCTGCTGGCCCAGCTGCTGCCGCTGGCCCCGCTGCGCCGTCTCCCGCCTGCTGGAGGCCGACGGCCTGCGGTCCGCGTCGTTCCCGGCCCTCGCCGCCGGCTTGGGGCTGCCCCGGGCGAGGCCGGCGCCGTCCGGCGAGCCCGGCGCCGGTTCGCCGCCCCCGGCCGCTCGCTCCGCCGCTTCCTCGCCGCCCGTGCCGTTCCGCACGGGCGGCGCGTCGCCCTCCTCCCCGCCCGCCGGCTCCCCGTCCGCGCGCGCGCCGTTGCTCTCGCCGTTGGGCCGCGCGCCCTCCACGGGCCCGTTCTGCTGCCGCTGCTGCTGCGCCGGTCGCTGCTGCTGCTGCTGCTGCTGCTCATGCTGCTGCGGTGACTGTTGCGGTTGCCGCGGCGGCGCCGGGCTCCTGGGCCGCTCGTCCCGGCGCTCGAAGTGCGTCTGGATGTGGCACGTGGTGTCGCCGCCGCCCACCCGCCAGTGCCGCAGGCCGCTGTCGAACTCCCGCGGCTGGCCCAGGCGGGCCGAGCGGTCCAGCACGTAGGCCCCGTCCGCGTCCTCCAGAGCCAGCGCCAGCGGCCGCCGGTCGAAGCGGCTCGCCTGCTTGCGCTTGCGCTCGGCGGACGGCCCCGGCGGCCGGCGGGGGGCGGCCGCTCCCCCCCGTCGCCGCGGCCGCTCGTTGGCGTTTGCCCTCGCGGCAACGGCGCCGTCACCGCCTGCGTCGTCGTTGACATCGTCGTCGGGAGGGCCGGCGGGGCAGGCCTCGTCATCCTCCTCTTCCTCCTCCTCCTCGTCCTCCTCGTCCTCCTGCTCCTCCTGCTCCTCCTGCTCCTCCTCGTCCCAACCCGGGTCCTCCTCTCCCTCTCCCTCCTCTCCCTCCTCTCCCTCCTCCTCCTCGTCGTCGTCGTCGACCCAGTGGCCGGCCCAGGCGGCCGCGTGCTCCTCCGCGTCCTGCGCGGCGCCGTCCTCGCCGTCCTCCTCCTCCTCCTCATCCTCCTCCTCGTCGTCGTCGTCGTCGTCGTAAGCGGCGCGACCCCCGATCTCGCACTCGCGCAGGATGCCGAAGATGTGGATGAGGCAGCGGCGCAGGTACTCGACGAGGAGCTCCAGCAGGCCGGGCAGCTGGGCAGCGGCAGCACCGTCATCATTCGTCACAACCACCATCATCATCATCATTGTCATCACCACCACGGTCACCGTCATCATTATCATTACCATTGTTATCATTGTCATCGTCATCATGCTCACCATCATCATCATGATCACCATCACCATTATCATCAACATTATCAGGTGAAGGGTAGTGCAGTGCAGGGTGGTGGTGCAGTGCAGGGTAGTGTAGTGCCGTGCGGTGCAGTGCAGGGTGGTATAAAGCAGGGTGGTGGTGCAGTGCAGGGTGGTGTAGTGCCGTGCGGTGCAGTGCAGGGTGGTATAAAGCAGGGTGGTGGTGCAGTGCCGTGCGGTGCAGTGCAGGGTGGTATAAAGCAGGGTGGTGGTGTAGTGCAGGGTGGTGTAGTGCCGTGCGGTGCAGTGCAGGGTGGTATAAAGCAGGGTGGTGGTGTAGTGCCGTGCGGTGCAGTGCAGGGTGGTATAAAGCAGGGTGGTGGTGTAGTGCAGGGTGGTGTAGTGCCGTGCGGTGCAGTGCAGGGTGGTATAAAGCAGGGTGGTGGTGTAGTGCAGGGTGGTGTAGTGCCGTGCGGTGCAGTGCAGGGTGGTATAAAGCAGGGTGGTGGTGTAGTGCCGTGCGGTGCAGTGCAGGGTGGTATAAAGCAGGGTGGTGGTGTAGTGCAGGGTGGTGTAGTGCCGTGCGGTGCAGTGCAGGGTGGTATAAAGCAGGGTGGTGGTGTAGTGCCGTGCGGTGCAGTGCGGCTCGCAGGGTGGTGCGGAGCAGCAGGGCAGCACCTGCGAGAGGCTGAAGCTGGCGACGGTGGCGTCGTCGTGCAGCAGCACGTTGATGGAGTCCAGTGCCCAGCTGCTCTCCGCCAGCAGGCCCGACTTGAGCGACATCATCACCCGCCACGCCTCCGGGGTGCCTGCTCCCACAGCCACGTCGCCAGCGGTGAGTGCCGGCGAGCGGCGAGTCGTGGCGAGCGGTGGCGAGAAGCTGGGAGCGATTGTGAACGGTGGCGAGGGGTGGTGAGCATTGGCGAGCGATGTGCGGTGGCGAGCGATGTGCGGTGGCGAGCGATGTGCGGTGGCGAGCGATGTGCGGTGTCGAGCGGTGGCGAGCGATGTGCGGTGGCGAGCGATGTGCGGTGGCGAGAGGCGAGGAGCGATGTGCGGTGGTGAACGGTGGCGAGTATTGGCGAGCGATGGCGAGCGATGTGCGGTGGCGAGCGATGTGCGGTGGCGAGAGGCGGGGAGCGATGCGCGGTGGTGAACGGTGGCGAGTATTGGCGAGCGATGGCGAGCGATGTGCGGTGGCGAGCGATGTGCGGTGGCGAGAGGCGGGGAGCGATGCGCGGTGGTGAACGGTGGCGAGTATTGGCGAGCGATGGCGAGCGATGTGCGGTGGCGAGCGATGTGCGGTGGCGAGAGGCGGGGAGCGATGCGCGGTGGTGAACGGTGGCGAGTATTGGCGAGCGATGGCGAGCGATGTGCGGTGGCGAGAGGCGGGGAGCGATGTGCGGTGGCGAGCGGTGGCGCCTGGAGAGCGGCGCTGCGCGTGCCCTGCTCACCCACGTCCTTGGCGGTGAGGCGGCGGCGCGCCTTCACGGCCGCCTGCGTCGCCTCCACGCATCCCGGCGGGAAGGGGGGGTCCTTGCGCGGGGGGGGCAGCAGAGCGAGCGGCGCGGGGGGCCCGCCCCCCGGCAGCTGCGACGCCGGCACGGGGGGCCCCACCTTCTGCATCCGCACGCCGCCGGCGGAGAGGTACGGCGGCTTGCTCGGAGACACCTACGGGCGGCGGCACGGAGACGCGCGGTCGGTCACGGTCGCGACGGTGCCGGCGCCGCGTCGAGCCGGGGCGTGGGGAGGGGGCGGCCGCCGTGCGGCCCGCGCGACGGCGCCGCCACCTACCTGCGGGTATCCGGCGGGGCCGGCCGTGCGGTACTGAGGCCTCTGGCCGGGCGTCGCGTGGCCGTGGGGCTGCGGCGCCGGCGTCGCCGCGTACGGCGCGGGCCTCTGCGCGTAGTGCCACTCGCCCGGCGCCCGCGGGCCCGGCGGCTCCCCCGCGGGGGCCCCCCCGTCCTCGCCCGCGCCGCGGCCGCCCCCCGCCGCCCCCGGGTACGGCGGGGCCTGCGAGGGCGGGCGGCTCGGGTAGGGGGGGTACGCCGCGTCCCCGGGGCCGCCCGTCGCCGGCCCCCCCCCGGCGCGCGCCGGCCCCCAGCCCGGTTGCCCCCCCGCCGACCCCTGCGCCGGCGGGGGGCCCGAGTCGGCGCCCACGATGGCCTGGGGGGCTTGCGGGGGCGCGCGGTCGGGCGGCGCGTAGCCGAAGGGGAACTGGCTGGCGGGGGCCGGGGCGTGCGTGGGGGGCGGCCGGCGGTCCCCGTAGGCCCCCGCGGCCCCCGGCACGGGGTAGCCCGCGTAGGGGTCGGAGGGCGGCTGGGCCGGGTAGGCCAGGCCGTAGGCCTCGCTCTCGTGCCGCTTGGCCGGCGGGCCGTACATGCCCTCCATGGGTCGCTTATAGTTCTGCGAGACGGAGAGACGGAGAGAAGCAAGCGAGTCAGGGAGACGCACGGGGAGACGAGGAGTTACGGTGACTGGGGCGCCACGGAGGCGAGATGTTAGCTACCTCGCCTGGAGGTCGTGGGTTCGATCCAGACCCTGACACTTGTACATTTGTAGTTTGCATATTCTCCCCGTGGTAACGTGAATTTTTCTCCGGGTCCTCTGGTTTTTCTCTCAAAATTTAGAATGAACGTACGTTTAGAGTATTTGGCCGCTCTAAATTTCCACGTGAAAAACCACTTCGTTGAGAAAAATAAGCTCACAGCTCAGTGGCCCTTACCTGGTAAAATAAAAATATTTAATTTTAACCGAGAGACGCTGCTGAGCCGCTTTACTATCGCCGTCATCATCTCACACCGCGGAAGATGGCAGCAGCCTTCATGCGGCCCACTCTGTTAAGTGAGAAATCACGACGAATGCGATCAACGCTGCGACGGAACATCGATCATCGATCTCCTGGTCTCCAGAGCAACAACAAACACGCACACGCACGTGGCGTGGCCACGGGAAGCAGCAGCACCCGGACGCTCGCCTCATTTGGCGAGTGTCGCTGTGGCGAGACCCGCGGGGTGGGGGGGGAAAGCGTGCGATCATCACGAGGCCCCAAACATCGTGGGAGAGAACGCGTTGCGATTCAACGGGAACGCGACGGCCGAGCCGGTGAGATGGCGACGCCGTGGGCGGCGTGGCAGCGCTTGTGCCAGGGACGACACCGTCACCAACGCTGCAGCGGCCAATCAGCTGCCGGATAAACAACCCCATGAAAACATGGCCACCGCGACATCGTCGCTTGGTGAGCTTCAGCCGTCTGGGACTGTGGTGAGTATATTTAGGTTGATAATGTTTATTATATTTATGAATATAAACGGTGTCATGAATTAACGGTTGAATCTTTTTAAATCTGACATTGTCCATCGACCACCCCTAAGATCTGCCATCCGCCACCTCCCGCTAAACCCGGGAGTGTACCAGTTGTGCCAGGCCTTGCCGTGCCAGGCCTAGCCGTGCCGGGTCTCGCCGTGCCGGGCCTAATCGTGTCGGGCTTAACCGTGTCGCGTTGGGCTAGGGCTGCGCGTGCCGATCGGTGCGTTACCGGCTGTGGCTGCGGCTGCTGCTGCTGCTGCTGGTACATTGCGTGCTGGCCGGGCGGGGGGTAGGGCGGCTGGCCCTGGTGGGGGCCCTGCCCCGGGTACGGCTGTCCGTAGTTGTCGTGCCTGAACGGAGTAAACACAGCGTGCCACGGCAGTTTTTTCACACTCGTCAGCGGTCGTCAGTAACGCCACCACAGCCGCCACGGCAGCCGTGGCCGCGCCGGCGGCGGCGGCGGCACCAGCGGAGTGTATGAATAAATAACCCGGCATGCATGTTTAATGAGGTCCGACCGGAACGCCACGACCAACTCACGCACAGCAGCCGGACAGGGTAAGTGGAACCAAGGGGCCTCGAGGGACCCTCAAGAAGGCCTCTCTTCCGCTCCCAAACTCCCTCCTCTCCCTCTATCTCCTCGCTCTCCATCCCTCACTCCCGTTTCCTCTCTCTCTCTCTCCTCTGACCCTCCCTCTCGCACCATCCCTCTCTCCCCCGCCTTCTCTCCATTCTTCCCTCCCTATAATTTGTTTTTATCTCGCCATCGAACAAAAGGCGGTCACTGCATGGCGCGCTTTCAGATGCGCTTCGGCGGCCGTCTGGAACGCTCTTGCGACATTTAGGAAGCAACTTGAGCTATGCGCTTTTAAATCTAGCTTGAAAACTAATTTCTTTAGAACTGCTTTTTGGTTTGTTGTCCTTACGCATGCACCTCCGATTCAACATACTTACATACATACATGGATGTTGAACTTCTTTCGTGCTAATCACTCCTCGCTATCACTATCCTCCACGGTTCTGACGACAAGGCCTCCTCCACTCTCGTTCGCTCTCCCCGTGGGGCCCCCAGCTACCCGTGCCCCTGCGGACCGCCAGGCTGTGGCCTCACCTGGGCTGGGGGGGCCCGCGCCCCCCGGGGGAGTACATCCCGGGGTCCGCCACGGACGGCGGGACGAGCGGGTTTACCGGGCCCACTCCGGCCTCCACCGACAGCGCGTGTTCTGCCCTGACCGCACAAAGACAAAGTTCCCCCGTGTAACCATACAGACCGGTGGGGGGCAAGAGTAGCTGCTGGGGAAAGTGCTAGTTAGCGAGCAGCACCTAAGAAGGCCGGCACGGCACACCCGTGAGGGGGTCTGGGTGTGGCAAACATCCCCAGTTAACCTGGGGACCGGTTCAGATCATCGTCACCGATATTCGCCACGAGAGGGAAGTGAACTCGGCACGCCGGGTTCGTGAACCACCGCGCCACCGCTCCCCACCACAGGGGATACAAAGACAAAGGTCCCCCTCTTAAAGCCTTCACGCAGACTGCCGGGGCCAAGTGCCGTGAGCGAGCAGCACCTACGAAGGCCGTAGACGGCACACGAGGGGGGGGGGGGGCGGGGGTGGTTGGGCAGCGCGAGAAGCGAACCGACTCTCGCGTGAACCGCGACGTCCAATCGCGACGAAGCGGTGCCAGGTGGCATCGTGATCGGTGAGTGTGGGGCGGCGGCGGCGGCGGGGGGGAAACCTCACCGGCGGTCGTAGCCCGGCGCGTAGGGGTACGGGTGCCTCTGGCTCATGCTGCCCAGGCCGGCCAGACCCGTGGGAGGCCCCCGGCCGTAGGGGTCGGGAGGCAGCCGGGCCGACGGCCCCTGGGAGCCGTACGGGTCGGGCACGGGGACCGCTGGGAGTGGCGACGGACATGGAGGGGGGGGGGGGTGGGGGGGAGCACGCTTGTTAATCACGACAGTTTGCCGCACAGAGAGCCAGAGGGCGCTGCATAGACAGGGCTACACACAGAGATATACAGAGATAAACACCGCACACTGCATACACAGAGAACACGCTACATACAGAGAACATGCTACACACAGAGAACACGCTACATACAGAGAACACGCTACATACAGATAAACACCGCACACTGCATACACAGAGAACACGTTACATACAGAGAACACGCTACATACAGATAAACACCGCACACTGCATACACAGAGAACACGCTACATACAGAGACCACGCTACATACAGAGAACACGCTACACACAGATAAACACTGCACGCTACATACAGAGAACACGCTACACACAGATAAACACTGCACACTGCATACACAGATAACACGCTACATACAGAAAACACGCTACATACAGATAAACACCGCACACTGTATACACCGAGAACATGCTAAATACGCTCACAGTGCCCCCCCTCTCACAATGCTGCCCCCCTCAGTGCCCCCCCTCTAACAAAGCCCCCCTATCACAGCGCCCCCCCCCCTCCCCGCACTCTCTGTACCTTTGCGCATGGGGTTGTAGGGGTCTCGGGGGTCGCGGGGGTCGCGAGGGTCGCGGGGGTCGCGGGGGGCACCGTACTGCCCCTCCGCCCGGCCCTGCTCGTAGGCGGCCCGCGCCAGCGCGTCGGGCCCCGCACCGGCGGGCGGGGTGAGGCTGTGGTAAGGGGCGTTGGTGGGGTTGGGGGTGAGTGCGTTGCGGCGCTGGAAGGCCGGGTCCCCGTTCTCCGAGAAGGGGTCCTGCAGGCTGATGGTGCTGTTCCTGGCGCACGCAGACAAAGACAAAGCCACCCCCCCCCACACACACGCACACGCACACACACACGCACGCACACACACGCACGCACGCACACGCACGCACGCACACACCTTAGCACATCGTTGGGGCAAGCGAGCACCTCTGAAGGGCGGTACGGGGCACCGTGCCCGGCTGCCTGTGTACATCCCCCAGCGCCGATGTTCACACGCTCGTTTAAGGCTGAGTCGACCTAGGGCAGGTACGGGACCGGTTAAGCTATTTGAAACTGATGTTGTCCCGTGAGCGGGAATCCAACTCGTGCCGTCGGGTTCGTAGCGCAGCGTAGCGCTAACCATTACGCAACCATGCCACCACACGTGAACATGAACACGCACAGAGTAATAGGCGTTTTCCCTTTTATCTGGCAACAAAACTGACACCTTTATACAAGGGATCCAACACTTGCTGTCAAAATGCAAACAAAAAGACAACTCTGATAATGGTTAATGCAAACATGGTCCCTTGTATACAGGTGTCAGTTCTGTTGCCAGATGAAAAGGTAAAAACCTACTACTATAACTTGCGACTGGCAAAGGAGGTCTCATAATGAACACACACACACAAGAACATACACTGAAGAACACAAACGCGAACAGACTGTTGGGGCAAAACCTGTCAGCGAGTACAAGAGGATGTATCTTCTTGGTTCTTTCGGTAAATTCACGTAGAAGGGAATTAATAAAATAATAAAAATAAAACATAATAAAATAATTCTCACGACGTTTCGGCCACAACGCAAGCAGCCGTCCTCAGGTGAAGACCAGGTCTGTCGAGGAGGCTGCTTGCGTTGTGGCCGAAACGTCGTGAGAATTATTTTATTATGTTTTATTTTTATTAATTTATTATATCCCTTCTACGTGACTTTACCGAAAGAACCAAGAAGATGAATCCCTGCAGTCACGAAAGTTTTAAATCGAAACACAAGAGGATGGTCTGGTGAGAACCACGGCCGGCCGGCACTGTGGAGACAAAGGCGGCCGGGCGTGGCGTTGGACAAACACCCCCCTTCGTGTACCGTGCCGGCTAACAGCACTTGTCCCAACAGTCTGTTAAAGCCCCTTTGGGAGATCTTTTCCTGTGACTTTATATGCACGTACATGAACCTGCACCTGCGTGTGCGTGCATTTGCAATTGTGTGTGTGTACGCGTGTGTGCGTTTGTGTACGCGTACGTGTGCATGTGCATTCGTCTGTGTGTCTGCACGTGTCTGCGTGTGCGTGCGCGCGAGTACATGCGTGTGCATGTGTACATGCGTGTGTGCCAGCACGCACCTGTTTCCCGCGGTGGGGGGCGGCTGGCTGTGCGGGGTGGATGCCGGAGTGGGGGGCTTCATCTCGGCCGCCCCCTCCGTCATGGAGCTGCTGGTCGACTGCGGCGTCTGGGGCCCCTGCATGGAGCCCGAGCCGGCTGCCAAGTGGCCACACGCAAAGACAAAGGTCCCCCGCATAGCCTTCACGGACTGCCGGGGCGAGTGCTGTCAAGCGAGCGAGTACGGCACAACGCACGGGGTGGTGGACGGCCAGCACCACGCCTGGCCGCATTTGTTTACACACCGCACGAGGTACCCGTTTAAGGTCGAGTGGACCTAGGGGCCGGCCCACGACCGGTTCAGATATCTGTCGCCGATGTTGGCCGTGAGCGGGAATTGAACTGGGGTCACTGGGTTCGTGGCGCCAGGCAGTCTCGCGTTTGCTGCTTGCTGAGTCTCTGTGTGAGCCTATGGGTCTGTGTGTGAGCCTATGGCTCTCCGAGTCTGAGAGCAGATCTTGGTGGTGGCTTTGTGGGTCTCCCGTGCAGCAGCAGCAGCAGCTGTAGCTGTGGGATTCGGTGGAGAGACCACATGGTGAGCGAGGAGGTGGCGGCAGTGGCGGCGGAGGTGGCGGTAGCAATGCTCGCAGGGGACTTCATTCCCGAATAAAATAAACGCGCCGAATCCCGAGACTCGCCACGGCTGCGCGGGGCAAACGAGCGGCGGTGCGGTGACAACCGCCGGCACGGGGTACACGCCGTCGCTCGGCGCGGCACCGTGCCGCCCCCCCCGGTCGGGTTCGAGGAGACGGAGGGGGGCGATCCGGCAGGCCGCGCCGGTTAGCCGCTTGGCGTGGAGCCACCGCCGCCCGCCACCGCGTGGCAGGGGAGAGGCCAGGCAAAGGTCAATCGCCGCTTTGTTTACATTCTTATCTTTATGTTCAGCCTCAGCAGCATCCGCTTACCGCTGCACCCCCCCCCCACCACTTCCCCAACCTGTCTGTGGCTGCCCCAGGGATTCCCCGAACATTCCAACACCGCCCCACGGGCTCGCACACAAAGCTGTAATCCCTACACCCCTCCCCCCACCGCCGACACCAACTCCCCCACCTCCCCCAGCCACCACCACCTATCAGCATCCCCCCCCCCCCCCACAGCTTCTCCTCCTCCTCCTCCTCCCCAAGCTCTTCATGCACGGGGAGATGAGAGCGGCGGGTGACGTCACGCCGAGATTACATCACGGCTCGGAGAGTCAGCCAGTGACTGTCCAATGACATCACATCTCATCCCCCACCCCCCCACCCAAGGCTTAAGGATGTGTGACATCACCGGGTGAAAAAACACACACGTGCACACACACACACACGAGGCTGGGTGTCTCGTTGCTCGTGTCTGCCGAGTAATTGATTTACAAAGTCTGGTTCCTGGCCAAGCAGAGTGGACCCATTTCACCTCTCCAGCCAAGATTGTAAACAAACCCCCACCACCCAGCCCCATCCCCGCCACCGATCGCTCCAAGCCTTTCCCCTCCCCTCAACTCGATCCTCCTGGGAAAGCAGATGCCAAAAATAGAACATGACAAACAGACGCGGGCACGCGCGCGCACTCTGCTCCCTCTCGCTCAGCTCTGGCGGCGGCTGCTGCCGACTGCTGCTGCTGGGGCCGCGTGAGGATTGCGAGTTCCGTGACATCGAAGTTGCTCACCGGTTGTTCACAGCGCACACACGCACACGGTACGCACACACGCACACGGTACGTGCATGCGCACGGACGTACGCTGAAGAGCACCTGACCGTCATCTGTAGACCTCGTGTCTGCGTGTGTTTGGGTCTGGTCCGTCAGGTTGGGTCAGCTGTCTAGGGTTCAGGTCGGCCGGCAGCTACGAGTAGTGTGGCGGCGGCGAGGCCAGCGAGGGGCGACTGCGGCCGCTAATTCTCCGCACCGATTGCGCAAGCCACAGAAATGGAGGCGGTGGGGTCGACCGTCAGAGCCGTCCCGAGGGTAGGCCGAATCGGGGCGACCGCCCCGGGCCCCGCGCTTGGGGGGGGGGGGTCCTGGCGCTACGACGTCAGATGTAATACTTTCGGTTTAGTTTGAAGGTGTCGCGGAGGGGCCCACGCGGTGTGGGACTTTCCCCGGGCCCTGGACACCCCCCCACCTCCCCCGCATGGACATCCCTGGCGGTTGTGAGCGGTGTAGCCGGGCATAAGCGGAGTTTCACGCTGATTCTGTGTGACCAGGTGGGAACTTAAAGAGACCAGGATGAGGGGTCCTCGTTTGCAAGAGTGACCCGGGGTTGGTCTGTGGCGGTGGGGCCAAGTTACCGTGGCGAGGGTGCAGCAGTGGCGAGGGTGCGGCAGTGGCGAGGGTGCAGCAGTGGCGCGGGTGCAGCAGTGGCGAGGGTGCAGCAGTGGCGAGGGTGCAGCAGTGACGAGGGTGCAGCAGTGACGAGGGTGCAGCAGTGGCGAGGGTGTAGCAGTGGCGAGGGTGCAGCAGTGACGAGGGTCCAGCAGTGGCGAGGGTGTAGCAGTGGCGAGGGTGCAGCAGTGACGAGGGTGCAGCAGTGGCGAGGGTGCAGCAGTGGCGAGGGTGCAGCAGTGGCGAGGGTGCAGCAGTGGCGCGGGTGGCTACAGGCGGCTTACGAGCGGTGTGGCCTACCACGAGTGTTGCGGCCGGAACACGACGTGGCCGGCCTCTAGCGGCACGGCCAAATGCGGCCACGGCACGCCGGCCCGTGGCCTGGTTGCGGCGCGGCGGTGAGACCCGCCTGTCGGGGCGGCGTGCCGGGGGGGAGGGGGGGTTGTCTCACCTGGCGACGGCGGCTGCACCTTGGCGGCGTGCTTCTTGGTGTCGGCCGGCACGGGCGGGTTGATGAGATCGGAGGGGGGCTCCTCGCCGCGCTCCACCTTGCACTCGAAGGCGAACAGGAACTGGATGTACTGCTTCTTGAGCGAGCTGGCGGCGCTGCTCGACGTGCCCACGCCCAGCCCCGTCGCCAGCTCGCGCCACTTCTTGCACTTGTTCACCTGCGGGGGAGGGGGGTGGGGTGGGGTCAACGGCGACGGGGTCAGCGGTCGTACGGCCGTCGGGTAAACGTCGACTCCCAAGCTGTGGCCGCCGTCGCGAGCTCTGGGGCGCGCACAGCGCGGGAGAAGCGTCGCAACGTCCCGGCAGCTCCCAGCCTCGTCCAGACCACCGCCTCAAAGGGGTCGAGCGCGTGGAGATACTGTCGTCTAGAACCACAGACTCACGAGGAGTTGAGAAACCGCGGCCACATCCCAACGACACGCTCCAGCCGCAGACCAGTTTTGTCCTCGTTGGGGCTCGTCAGCACGGCACGGTCAGGTGACGCCGGACTTGAGCGTCGCCTTCACGCTTCGTCCCCTTCTCCCGCGACGTCACGCAGCTGCGTGCGGATTGTAGCGTCACTCTAATCGTGTCATCGTCTCGTTTTTGCGTTCGGCGCCGTAAGGATCTCGCCAGATTTGCGTCGCAAGAGCCTCCACTCAGCGAGACGGCCAAACGAGTTCAATTGTGACGCGCGCAAGCGTTTAACGACGCGCCGATTGTCGCCGGTGAAGTTGTAGAGGAGCACTCGCAGCCAGAAAGAGCAATTAGGCCCAATTGGATACCAATTAGATAGCAATTAGATAACAGTTAAACGTAACTAATTGTTACATTTGGTTGAGCAATTAGATATACAATGCAATGCAATTTGACTGTACTCCCAGTGAGTATTTTGCGGTGAAATTTTTTCAAATTTGGCTAATTGCCCCCGCGACGCCGCTAACGGACAATGGCCGGCTCTCCTCTCGCCAAGTCGGTCGCAGGATCTTTGACGCCCGCCCACTGCTGTGAATCGAGCGGCCCGTCACGGACGTCAACGGTTGTACGTGTGTCCGTTGGAACTTCCTTCTCGCCGCCGTACGTAGCGCCAACCGCGCTGATCGGTTCAGAGACCCGCAGTATTTATCAGGGCGGCCGGATGGATTCGAATCGTGAATCAGTGCAGCGAGCGGCCGTTAGGGAGTGGCACCCATTAAGGGTGGCACGGCTCACGATGGGGCGACGTGGCCAACGCCACGCCTGGCCACCTTGCGGATGCTGACACACCGCGCCAGGTAGGCGTGTGTGCGAAGACACACACACACGCGCACGCACGCGGTTAGCCAGGCTCACAGCTCATTAATTTTTCAACGATGATTGCGCAGCACGTCGGCTTAAGCCCCCGGAACACATCGCCAGGAGGAATGACGGCCGGTGGCCGAGAAGAACTGGAGAGCGGCAGCCGACGGCGGGAACGTGCCGGAGAGGATGTCCACCCCGGAGATGGAGCGCCGAGATCGACTCCGGTGCGGGTGCCGGGTGGAGAGTTTGCGCCGCGAGACCGCGACGCGCGGCGATGGCGACTTGGGCGAAGCCTTTGTCCAGCAGTGGACCGATCGTGGCTAACGATGGCGAGGGTGACGATGGTGATGTTGCACGAACGAGCGCAAGAGCCGGTGCGCGCCAGGTCAGTGGCACCGTTCACCGCCTGGGCCGGCCGTACCACGCTCCGGGCCGCACCACGGTTTCGGCCACACCGTGGGTTCACCGCTGCCCCCGTGGCTCTGGTCTGGGCCGCGCCGGCGGCCCGGGGGGAACGGGCGGTGGGGGGGGGGGCTCACCTGCGTGAGTCCGCCGATGTCGCGCGCCGACACGTAGAGGCGGTAGAGGTCGAGCGGCTTGCGCCCGACGGCCGGCAGCGCGGGCACCGGCGTGCCACGCTCGTCCATGAACGAGAGGTAGCGGTCGACCCAGAGGCGGCGCTCGGGCTCGCAGCCCAGCTCGTACAGGCGGCTGATGCTCTCGCCCGTCGTCGTGGACGAGCCGGACTTCTGCCGGGGGGGGGGGGGGGGGGCGACGAGGGGGGGTGCAGATGGAGGGCAGAGAGGCGCAGAACCGTGAACCCTATGTGATGGAACCGTGAACCCTATCATGGAACCGTGACCCCTATGATCGAACTTTGACCTCTTGATAGAACCGTGACCCCTATGATGGAACCGTGACCCCTAAGATGGAACCGTGACCCCTATGATGGAACCGTGACCCCTATGATGGAACCGTGACCCCTAAGATGGAACCGTGACCCCTATGGGACCAGACCCCCTGCTCTGTGATTTCGCTTTAACCCGCTTCTCTCACTCTCGTGCTTTATACAAATCGTGACTCACATTGCCCGCAACTGCTGCACACAACAACAAGGCCTACAGGGCGCTGTGGCCAAGTAGGCCTGAAGGGTTCGCTGGAAGGGAGGGGGGGCCACGGACGGGGGGGGAGGGGAAGTGGGCGGTGGGGGGAGGGGGGTACGAGTCCCGTTCCTGGCCCCTTCACCCCTTCACCCTCCTGCCGCGGCAGAAAGGCAGCGCCGCCGCTTGCCGGGACGCGTGGACCGTGGCGTCGGCACGGAAACCCAGAACCCAAACCGCCGTTGCTCGGCAACGCGCCTGGCAACCACCGGCCCCGTGGGGAGGGGGGGGGAGGGCATCGGGGGGAGCCTGGGTCAAGGCTGCGTATTAACCCGCGTGTGTCCACGCGAGTCGCAGATGCGGGAGAAGGCCGAGCGGAATGGGGCAGGGTGAGAGGCTACGGGAGGAGGTGGAGGGAGTGTGTGCGTGAGACTGTGTGTGTGTGGGTGTGCGTCTTTGTGCGCTTGTGGGGAGCAGTAGTGTAGTGGTTAGCGCGATGCGCTATGAACGCAAATATCCGAGTTCATTTCCGCTCACGGCCAACACCAGTGGCGATTATCTGAACCGGTCCTGGGCCTCTCCTAGGTCGACTCAGTCTCAAATGAGTACCTGGTGCGGTGTGTAAAATCGTCGCCAGTGGGGAGACAAAGGCGGACGGGCGTGGTGCTGGCCACCCACCCCTTCGTGTCCCTTGCCGGCCTTCATAGATGCTCGCTAACAGGACTTGCCTTGACAGTCTGTTCAGGCTATACAGGGGACCTTTGTCTTTGTTTTAGAGCGGTAGTATAAAGGTTATCACACTGTCCTACGAACCCAGATACCGAAATTCCGATTCCACAGCCATCGTCGGTGGCGAATATCTGACTTGGTCCCGAATGTCCCCTAGGTCGACCTAACCTTAAATGAATACCTGGCGCAGTGTGTAAGCATTAGAGAGAGTAAAAGGTGGCTTGGGCGCGTTTATGTGCCGTGCCAACCTGGGTGCTCGCAAATAGCACTTGCCCCAACAGCCTCTGTAGGTTACATGGCGGACTTCTCTTTGTGCGCGTGTGTGTCTGAGTGTGGGTACATGCGCGAGTGTGAGCGTGTTGGAGTCAGCCGAGCGCCATTATCTTTTCATCGACTGTGTAACGCTGTGTGGAAGCTACCTGGCCAAACGCGCCATATGAAGGCCCAGGTCTTCCCGGCCATAGTCATGCCCTTTCTTCTCTATGCTGCAAAACCTCATCTCCTCTGGGGGACCGTCTGTGCCAGTTTGTAACATTCAGGCTGGCTTGCCCATGATCCATCCTGGCTGTCACCAGGCTGGATTTGTGTGAGGAGCTCACAGATCCTTGAAAGATCTGGACACAGTCCCATCGGTGAGCTCGTCCGGCAGGCGAGGCTGCGTTGAATGGGTCGGATAGAGGGGCCAGATAGAAGGGGCTAAACGGGCACTGAACGGGCTAGAAAAGAGATGGAGTGATGTGGTACAGCAGGGTGTGGAGCTGAGTAGACTTGCCGAAGACTGGTACCAGCAGTGTCAAGATCGGCCTCTGTGGAGGAGGCTTGTGAAGGACGCTACTGGGCAGTTGGAGGCAGTCGCCTTCCAATAACATCCGAGGGCAGAGGAGCGACGTTGACAACGAGTGGAACGCCGGGTGGTTAAAATGCAAGTTGGCACACTAGGCGGCACAGGTGGTGCATCTGCCAGTCATCTTAGTCAGTCAATCCATGGCACCTGGGACTGTCCCGTGATTTCCGGCCAGCAACGAGCCTTCGACACTTCACGTGGCCTCATAGTGCACCTAACCTGAGTGAGTGAGTGAGAAAGTGAGTGCGAGTGAGAGCAAGCGAGTAAGTGAGCGAGAGCGAGCGTGCGAGTCAGACGGAGTGAGAGTGAGCGAGTGAGTGAGAGCGAGTGAGTGTGTGTGTGAGTGAGCATGCGAGTGAGCGAGTGAGCGAGCGAGTCGGTCCTCACTTGCCACGCACCTTAGACTTGTTCTCGCTGGGCGGTGGAGGAGGGGTCTTCCCGTCCTGGAGGCCCATGCCTCCCTCGGGCCCCGGGGTCATCCCCGGGGTCCCCGGGGGGGACATGATGTGCTGGGGGGGGCCTGAGTTTCCTGCTCACAGCACAGAGGGGGCGAGCGACTTACTCACCACGGCCCACAACCACAACAACCACAACCACGACCACCACCACAACCACCACGGCCCACAACCCCCAACAGCTTACACCAATAACACGACGTTATTGTCTCTACGTGGAGCGCCGGACAAAGGAAGGGGTCGTACTGCTTGCTCAAACAACTCGGAACGCTCTCATCGACCCTCGTACTTTTGGGGGGCTTAGAAGATCCAGACCCCCCCCCCCCCCCCCCTCTCATTTTAATTTTTCTCTTTCCCTATGTGGAGGTCGATTATCAGACGCAGGACAAAGACAAAGATCCCCCCCCCCTCCTATAGCCTGAACAGGCTGTTAGGGCAAGTGCCGTTAGCGAGGGGCACCGATGAAGGCCGGCACAGCGCACGAGGGGGAGGGAGCAGCCGTGGACAGTAACCACGCCCGGCCGCCTTTGTCTCACCCAGCGCTCATGTTGTGTGCGCACGAGCGTCTCAACAATGAGCCAATTCACTCTCCTGGTTAAACACACGGGAGACTGAACGAGTGAGACGGAGAAACGGGGACGCAGCAGACGCAGAGGGCAGTGGGAGGGGCAGCGGGGAGACAGGGGACCGGCAGAGACGACAGGGAGACAGCAGGGAGAGAGGAGACAGGGAGACAGCAGGGAGAGAAGAGACAGGGAGACAGCAGGGAGAGAGGAGACAGGGAGACAGCAGGGAGAGAGGAGACAGGGAGACAGCAGGGAGAGAAGAGACAGGGAGACAGCAGGGAGAGGTGAGACAGGGAGACAGCAGGGAGAGAAGAGACAGGGAGACAGCAGGGAGAGAGAAAACAGGGAGACAGCAGGGAGAGAGGAGACAGGGAGACAGCAGGGAGAGAAGAGACAGGGAGACAGCAGGGAGAGAAGAGACAGGGAGAGAAGGGAAGGGGAGGGAGGAGACAGCACGGAGAGAGGGGACCGGCAGAGACGACAGGGAGACAGCAGGGAGAGAGGAGACAGGGAGACAGCAGGGAGAGAGGAGACAGGGAGACAGCAGGGAGAGAAGAGACAGGGAGACAGCAGGGAGAGAGGAGACAGGGAGACAGCAGGGAGAGAAGAGACAGGGAGATAAGGGAAGGGGAGGGAGGAGACAGCAAGGAGAGAGGGGACGGGGAGAGGAGGGGGATGAGATGTGCGAGAGACCGGGCAGGGCCCGTGCCTGCGACGTGAATGTGCGAGCGCTTGTGCCACTTCCATGGGCATCGCGGCTCGTGCGGGCACCGGCTACAGCTGCCGTGCGGCACAGGCGGCACTGGGCGGGCGGGAGAGGAGCTGTGTGAAGAGCGAGGGGAGCGCCGGGACGTCACCACAGCAACACCGCCATCTTGGAGCCACCAAAATGGTGGCTACCGGATGAATTAGACGAGGGAATGAAGGCGGTCGGAGAACCACGTGTGTGTGTGTGTGAGAACGTGTGTGTGTGTGTGAGAACGTGTGTGTGTGTGTGGTGAGAGCGCGTGTGTGTGTGAGAACGTGTGTGTGTGTGAGAGCGCACGTGTGTGAGAGCGTGTGTGTACATGTGACATCGTGCACACTGCTCACTACACACACACACACACGACACACGCTCACACACAACCCACTCTACACACACACATTCACACACATTCACACACCTCACATGCTGCACGCACACATACACACGATACACAACAGAGACAAAGCTACACACCAAACACAACACACACACGCGAATACACACACGGGTACAGGCCAGCCATTAGCAATGTTATTGCCGCGTTGTTTGTCGTTGCCAAGTCGGTGGTGCTTGGGACAAGCAGGGTCGTAGGAACGGGCATATCCACGGCGAGCTACCGGGGGAGAGCGGGCCACGGACGGGCCGTGCCGTGCCACACGCGTTTCCCCGTGGGCCGCGGTGCCCCCAGCCGACGGGGGCCGCTCCCTCATTTGCACTCGGAGATATGCGCGAGCACGCGGGCGCCATGCCCCGTCCCGCCACCACCGCCGCCTCGCCGCACGCGCTCCCAATCTGCAAATCCCCGAATCCGACAGGCCCACCGCTCCCTCCGCTCCCTCCTCTCCCTCCTCTTCCCCTGCTTCCTCCGCTCCCTCCGATCCCTCCTCTCCTCTCCCGACACTCGGTCCCATCACGCGTGATACGAGCCGTGCTTTGTGTTTCGCGAGTGCCATCGGAAGACACGAGAGCCGCCCTGGTTACCACGGCGCAGTCTGCTTCCGTTCGCTTCCCCCGCGCTTACCCACTCATCAACTGCGCTTCCTCGTGCTTCCCTGCACTTCCTCACGCTTAAATTTCGATTTGAAGCTTTCGTGACTGCAGGGATTCATCTTCTTGGTTCTTTCGGTAAAGTCACGTAGAAGGGAAGTAATAAAATATTATTTTATTATATTATTTTATTATGTTTTATTTTTATTATTTTATTACATCCCTTCTACGTGACTTTACCGAAAGAACCAAGAAGATTCCTCACGCTTCCCTGTTCAACCCCGGTGCTTCCCCGGTGCTTCCCCGTTCAACCCCGGTGCTTCCCCGTTCAACCCCGGTGCTTCCCCACGCTTTCCCGGTGCTTCCCCGGTGCTTCCCCGGTGCTTCCCCGGTGCTTCCCCGTTCAACCCCGGTGCTTCCCCATCTCTTCCCCGGTGCTTCCCCGTTCAACCCCGGTGCTTCCCCGGTGCTTCCCCGTTCAACCCCGGTGCTTCCCCATCTCTTCCCCGGTGCTTCCCCGTTCAACCCCGGTGCTTCCCCGGTGCTTCCCCGTTCAACCCCGGTGCTTCCCCGGTGCTTCCCCACGCTTCCCCGGTGCTTCCCAGTTCAACCCCGGTGCTTCCCCGGTGCTTCCCCACGCTTCCCCGGTGCTTCCCAGTTCAACCCCGGTGCTTCCCCGTTCAACCCCGGTGCTTCCCCGGTGCTTCCCCGGCGCTTCCCAGTTCAACCCCGGTGCTTCCCCGGTGCTTCCCCGGTGCTCCCCGGACGTGCCCGTTTGTTTACCGCTCCTCGAGCGTTCCGCACCGGCGGCGGTGCGGAACGCGTTGGCGCGCGCGCCATTAATTCGCGCGCGCGTTGAATTAGCGCGGGTAAATAATTCATGGGGCCCTCGTTAATTAATCATTAAAAACAAATCAGCGATATTAGCGGAGTTGGTGTGGCCCCTCGGAGACGGAGCCGGGCTCCGCGCGCCAAAGGGGCCGCGCGAGAGCGGCGCGCAGATCAAAGCAAACACGCCCCCCCCCCGCCCCCACCCCGAGCCTACATTATTTATTCTCACAAAACAACGCAGGCCTCGAGCCAGGCTGCCTCCTTCTGCCCGTCTCACATCCCGGGGAGGGAGGGAGGGGTTCACGTCAGTGTTTTGCGAGCGAGAGCAGAAACGAGGATGACGGGGATGGGGGGGGGGGGTGCAGAGTCTCGGGATGACAGGCAGCAGATTGGGTAGAGGAGGAGGAGGGTGGGGGGGGTGACGGTGGGGGGGGGGGTTAGGAGCTCGGCGCGCACGCGCGAGCGCACAAACCCTCGCCGCCCTCCGTCAAAACTCTGCCAAGAGTGAACTCGGCTCTCGCGTCGCCAACTCGCTGAGAACGACCCTGCGATTGCAGGGAGGGTGGCGGCCCGCTCGCCGCAACAGCGGAGCCGTTCCGTTTCCCGGCCGCGTGCACCAAGGCCCCCTCCTCCGGCACGCGCGATGCCGGCGAGCCTCAACCGGGGCCCGGACGCTCCGCCGCCGATTTTATTTGGGGGCCTAACGCCGCCGCCAGCCCCCAGATATTGGGATCCCGCGCTCCACTCCAACGGGCGGCACGGGCGGAACGACGGGCGCGCGGACGCGTCTCGTTAAATATTGATCGGTTGTTCCCGGCAAAGAGGCGGACGGATGACGGTCGCCGACGCCAGCAGCGGCGGGAGAAGTCTCCGAGTTCCGCTGATGAATGGACCCCGGGCTTCATTTGAGTTCCGCGATGATCACCCGTCAGCGGGGGATCGTCGACTCTCGCAAAACCCAAGGGGAGGGGCCGGGCCCGCGGGCGGTCATCAACCAGGACGGGTCCAATACCACGCCCGGCCGCCTTTGTCTTCCCACGATGCTGATGGGGTTTTAATATTTTGTTTGTTATTTTAACAAGAGCCCGGTGGTAAAAGGCACGAACCACGACAAGAGATGGGGGGGGGGGGTACAGAAATTCCACGGCAGAAGTGCTCCTGGGCTCTGAGCCGGGGTGAAGGATCGGGCTCGCTGCCCCGCTCACGGGGGCACTGCGAGCGGGGGGGGGGATTTCATACGAGGCAAAGGGAAGAGTGGCGGGGGGTGGGCGGGGGGGGGGGGGCAAAGTGCGCCAAACAAAAAGTTCCAAACAAAATCAGCTCACACGCGAGACCAGTGTCGGTCACGCATCGCGACAAGGGAGCTCGCTTCACCGACCTCACTCGTTCAGAGGGACCTGCCGCTGCTGCGTTGGGTTTTAAGTAAAAAAAATTCGGCCCCTTGGGAGGAAACCGGAGCGGAGCGCACGAATAAAACCCACGCCCATCTCTTTCCATCCCCCTTGCAGATGGAAATGGATGGCGATTAGTCCACTGGCCGTACCGCCTTCTCCTGGGCAGCCGGGGTACACGGCACCTCCCATCTGCGTGCGATCCATCAACCCTCGCTGCTGCCTCCACAGCAACGGTTCACGGGCGGGTGCCACCACCACCCGGGTTAAGGCTGAGTCGACCTAGGGGAGGCCCAGGACTGGTGGAGATATTTGCCACTGGTGTTGGCCGTGAGCGCGAATCAAAGTCGAATCGCCGCGTTTCGTAGCGCAGTGCCCTAACTACTGCGCCACCGCTCCCCACCACGTACCCACACACACACACACCTGACCGCTCGCAACTGTGTGCGCTGGATGGTGCATACTAAGCATACACACGTATGCACGTACACACACACGCGCGCGCGCGCGCACGTAGGCATACATGTGACGCAAATTTATATGCACACACA